CACCCCTGGTAACCAACAAAGAAAATTTCCTTCTATAGATAAACATTTCCTTAACTTTTACAATAACAGATTAATACAATATTTGTCCTTTTGTGATTGACTTATTTCACTCAGCATAATGTCCTCCAAGTTCATCTACGTTATGCGGTGTTTTGCAGATTCTACGTTATTCTTTAGCATTGCATAGTATTCCATATGTATGTACCATAGTTTGGTTATCCACTCCTCAGTTGATGGACTTTAATTGTGATGATGATTTCACTAATGTATTCATATGTCACGGGGCCTTGGTGGTGCAGTGCTGAAGCGCTTGGCTGCTAACCAAAAAGTTAGTAGTTCAAATCCATCAACCTCTCCATGGGAAAAAGATATGGCAGTCTGCTTCCATAAAGACAGACTTGGAAACCCTATGGAGCAGTCCCTGTCCTATAGGATCACTATGAGTTGGAATGGGTATGATACATTATGTCAAAATTACCAAACTGTACACTTTAAATAAATACAGTTTATAATATGTCAGGAGCCCTGGGTGGTACAAACATTTAACATAGTTGGCTGCTAACCAAAAGGTTGGTGTTTGGAGTCACCCCAGAGGTGACTCAGAAGAAAAGCCTAGTAATCTTCTTCCAAAGAAACAGCTATTTAAAACCCTATGGAGTACAGCTCTATTTTGATACAGACAGGGTCACCAGGAGCTGCAATCTACTCAACAGCAACTGATTTGGTTTTTTTTTTTTTTTTTTGGTTTTATTTATTTGTTTTTTTGCTTATTATGCCAAGTATACCTTACAAAAGCCATTAAAATATTTTCAATGCATTTTTATGGTATTTTACACATGAAAATATCTACTAAAAAAAAAGTATATAAAAGAGTACTAAAACACAAGTTGTCAGTACATGTGTATTCCTGGGTGGTTAATACTTACTGCGTATGTATTAGTCCAGTGTTTTACTACTTCCTGGGATCGAAAATGCATTTCTTTTTTTGCCTTTCTTTCTGCACGAAGGCATGCTGCTTCTCTTGTCAAACGGTCAAGGCTATCTTGAATCCTTTTCCACTCATTGTATGGCATTATGGTGACCTGATGGAGATCAACTCTGCTAGGTAGATGAGGTGGATAGAGAACTTGGTCTTCCTTAGAGTTCTTCATTTCTAATAAATTAAAAAAATGAATATTAAAGACTTTAAGATGTATTTAAGTCGAGTTCCAGTAAGATGGTGGAAAAGGCAGACAGACGGCACAGACCCTCTTAACAAAGGGGAACCAATTGACAAAAGATAATCCTGGAGCCCTGAGCTTTGAAGGGAAGGATATAGAAGTAGACTAAACTCCAACTAATAGAACTTGCATGAAAACAACCAAAAAGAAGACAAACAGAGCTGCAGTCTGTCAGCAATCCTGATGGCACAGACAGCTTAGATACTCCCCAGTGGTGTTAAGACCTAAGAATTAACCTAAAAATTGGCCCTACTAGCCAGGGGCTGCATGGAGGACTGCACTGGCATTGGTGAATAAAAGGGGAAGCAGGAAAGAGGAAGGTGGGCTGAGCTGTGGACTTCTGCCTTTCCAGAGGGCACAGCCATTTTGACTGTTTACAAGTGGTTTGACAATTTTGAATATTTAAAACGACAGCATTCTGGAGTTCTGGTAAGATTGCAGACTAGGCAGAAGGACTGCACAAATCCTCTTCAACAAAGAAAAGGGAAACCAATTAACACAGACACAGAAGATAATC